CCCTCCCTCCCTCCTGCTCATGGGGATAAGAGTGCTCAAATGGACCCCAGGGATCAGTTGTTTGGCATCTGCAAAGCATGAAAGAGACAAAAGCAAGTGTTAAATCTACCAGCCTTCTGGTTTATGTTCTTCTGGTGGAGGAAAACATATTCACAAGAGGAGGCATCCTTAGCAAGTGCGGCTGTGGTGACAACAGCCCACGTAACAGTGAGGAAATCCTTGGGGTGACCCAGCTGCTCCTGGCTGGCCCAGCTGGAACAGGGGCAAGAGGGAATGGACATTTTTTGTTTGTTTCATCTCCTGATGGATTTGCATGCATCCATGTGTCCATTTTGCGGTGGGGTTTGCTTGTAAACTCACTGTCCCCTTCCCCTGTTTTGACTTATTTTGATCCCTGTTCTTCATTCCTATGGATGCGACGGCTGCCCCAGTGTTGCCTGGGGATACAGCTCCTGGTTTCTCCTGTGGTGCTGAGGTGGCACACTTTGAATTTTTCACCTCAGCTGGAAGCAACTTTCCTTGCCACTTCTGTTACCCAAAATTAATCCTGGTACTGGCTTTGCAGAACCAAAAGTAAAGCATCCTCACATGCATCATGCTGCAAAGCTAGTGTGATGCAGCTTCAGGGGAGGAAGAGTGCTGCTGGTATTTGTTTTCCTTCACTCCCCTTACAATAATTCCTAAAAATATTTATTTTTTGAAAAATCAGGGTCCTTCTTGTGTGAAGCTGAAGTCTTAGGAAAGAAACGTCAGAAAAACAAATTCTGGTTCTGGGGCAGTGGGGGGTGTTTGCTGACAGAGTGGGTCTGGCATTTATAATAGCTTTTGAGATTTTTAAAGATCTCCTCCATGATGGCTCAGTACTCTCAGCTGAGAGCAGTGCAAGTGGTAGAAATTGAGAAGCTAAAAAGAAGCAGCTTTTTTTCACACCTAGGTCTACAGATTGTTCACATAATGTGTCTGGAGACACTTGCTAGGGGTGTGATTTCTACACAATATCATTTTTATTGTACTTTGTATCATGAAACACTCTAGACTTTTAAGAAAAGATTTATTTTTTTAATTTATAGAAAATCTTTCCCTGAAGGAAGCTGAGAGATGGTCCTTAATTTGCTGAGGCTTCTTTTCTCATTTCTCTGTCTATCTTATATCTTCTATCACAGTCTTGACAATAAGCTTTCCTCCTTTCTCACTTCAACAATTATGTTGCCTGTGTTTCAGCTACAGGTGTGCAGTTTCTCTTGCCTTTCAGGCACTGTGAATGCTGGTATTCAAACTCTTTAACCCCACCAAAATACTGCCTTCCCTAGCATGCAAATCCCCCTCTACTGAAGCCCAAATCACTCTGTGGAGTGAGGAGTTCCATGAATCCTTTCTGCATGGGTTTTAAATTGGAAGTAAAAAAAAAACCCTCACGTGAAACAAAGCCAAATCAATTCTCTTCTTCCCCAGTTTTGTCATCACTATATTAGAAACAACGGTGGATAATGACAAAGAGTGAATATTCTTGCAATAGAATATCATGCTGAAACATGCATGGATTAATGTTATGCCCTGTGAAATAATAAGGCAGCCCTCCCTTCCCTTGAAACCCTTTTCATTCCTCTGCTTACTAACAGAGTATTCACTGAGAAGCCAAGCCTAAGAATGTAATTATAGCAAGGCTGAGTTGGTCATGAATCATTTACCACAACCAATGCAATTATTTCTCCTATATTTGTACTTCTCTCCTTTTGCTATGGCCTCTTTTGGTACATTGTGGAACTAGTGGGTTACATGAGCATATCAGTTCTTCCAGGCCTTGTAATTCAGGATACTGGGTAGATTTGTTATAGGTGTTTCATTGCCATATTAACTAAATAAAGGGAAACAAATTTTGGTGTACTTTTGCCTTCCAAAGCTCTGTATAACCTGAAAAGTGCCATTAGCTAACTAAACTTTTTCATCTTTTTATAGTGAGTTGTTGGGTTGGGTTTTTTGACCATACTTGCCAAGAAGCACACACAAACTATATTCTTTGAGATGTCCCAAAGTGCTCTGACTCTCTGGGAGAAGCAGCTGTGGGTGGTATGTGAGGCTGTACAATCACAGTGACCTTTGGAAGGAAGGATTTCACTGGGTGTTTAATGTTTGGATGGACTGACTGACTTGAGAGCACGGAAGAAAGCACTGGGGAACAAGCTTGGTGTGCCCTAACTTGCAAAGGGACAGACAGGTCACATTGTATTGCTTTTCCACTCCCCCTACTCACGTAGGCTGCGGGGAGGGGGGAGTTGGATTTCTGCCGCCACTGGAGGCTCTGTCTCTAGACCTTTAGATCTTCACCCCAAAGACAGCCCTTCTCTGAAGCACATCGTGGTAGCAGTGGCAGTAATAATAATAAAAACACTGGTGAGAGTGTCATGGTTGCCAATAAACAGATATTCTTATATCTTATCCCTTATTTCTGGTGCCACTTTGCAGAGGTGGTTGGTAACTTAGAACCTAGCAATTTGTAAATACCTTTAGATAGTGTGTTTTAACATGACCAACACTGTATCTTGACTGTGTAAAAAATAATACATTATGTGTAATACTATCCAGATAAGGCTATAATGTAAATATATCTACAATGAATGTCCAATTACTCTTCAAGCTCTACATATGAGGAAGAAGCTCTTCTTGAGACTTTTTTAATTTAAGATTATGGAAACCCTGTTATTCATTTATATAAAAAAAAAACAACTGCATTCTTTTCTTAAAAATAAAATATTACTGCAAGAAGGAAAAGAATACATTACATGTATGCGATATCCAAAATCATATGGTAACACTGGGAACTGAGGATCTTACAAGTTGGGGACTGGTCAAAGTCTTGATGCCGTACATTTGATCTCATATAAATTAAAATAAGCACAAGTTTATGGTTAGCTGTGTAAAGCTGACCCACTTGATTATATATACATTATAGATATATATTTATATATGCTGTATAGATATATACATATTATACACAACATTCATACAGTGAAAGCAAAGTTTGATAAAGTAATATTAACTGGGAATTTGGATGCAATGTTGTGCTTCATTTGGAAGAAAAATGTCTGTGTTATTCAGCAACATTTAAAAATGATATGCAGGATAAGGAAGAAGGTGCTTCACCAGAGCAACTCGTGAAGGACTGAGATGATGAGGGTTTGAAATATCTTGAATACACAACTAAAATTACATGCAATATATGTGTATGTACTTCTGCTGAGTTGTATTCCTAGTTAAAGCATTGCATTAAATAACAAATTATAACAATAATAAAAATGTTTTTGTATGTGATATGTCTGGTTGATATTTTATTTTTTTTTTACTAAGTGCACTACCCCATGAAATGTTTAACTAGGATAATAAGTGGAGAAAAATAGTTTCCTTACAGTAACCACAGGGCTGTGAGACTGTCTGCAGTAATTATGAGAAAAATTCTGTCAGATTTCACCTTTAACTGTAAGGTCCCTTCAGCAACATGGCAAGGGCCTCCAATAAGACATTCTTCCATATATTTCTATCATCCAAGCGTTAACAAGGGAATTTGCAAGACTCTTTTGTAGCCACCCTGTTACATCAAAGCAAAATAAAATTTTAGTTAATTATGGGGGGAAATGGCACCACTAACAACTAAATGTATTTTGAGCCCCCTTTGCCTTATGAATGCAAACCTAGCTGCATGGTATACCTAGAAAGCATATAGGAGTAGGAATAAAGAACATAGGTTGTATATCTTCAGCTCCTCAGGGACTGAGGATGCTGCCTCAT